ATTAGTATTCATATAAATAAATCGTTTTCTTAAAATAATAAGTGTTATAATTAAAGCAAATAAGTAGATTTAAATTTAATAGATTTAACCTTTTTTTTTTTTTTTTTTTTAATTAAATTAAAGAATTGTTATTTAATATCATTCGACTGAAAGAATTTTGATTAAGTTGAATGTTTATAGTTATAAGTCAATATGTAAGTTTTGCATAAAAAAAATATAAACAATATATATAATAAACTTTTGATATACTTCATAATGAATTTTAGAATTCTATTAAATAGTAGATTAGATAAAAATAAAACAAAATAAATCTATTATATTGATGTGTAACGTAATAATATATAAGTTCTTCCATAATTTTGTTTGTATCTATACGTAAAAAAGAAAATTGTGAGTTCTGATAATTACAAAATTGTTTTTTGTTACTTTTTTTAATTAATAATTATATGATAAAAACGATTTAACGAATAATACTCTTACAAAAAATATTCATTATATTAATAGTCAAATATTATAATATTTATATAGAAATTAAAAAGTATAAGATTTAATTTCAAATAGATAATTCAATTAAAGGCGATAAAAAAAAAAGTTTACGCTTATACGCAAAACATATGCTTAGATAATATTATTACGTAATCAACTGGTTTTGAAATAGGCGACTCTATCCCTTTGCTAATCATTTTGCTATACAATTTACAGTTCTTTAATCTTTAATAAAGTGTTTAATATTTTATATAAAGCTTTAAAATCCATATATTTTCTGTTATCAATGCTACTGGTAATATATTATGGTTTATTAGTTGGTTGAAATTATTAATTAAAGTATACATTTTTTTAATAAAGTCATAATCATTGCATGTATTAGAATATATAATATAAAATAAAAATAAATAATTACATCAAACTATTTAATATATATAATTTTACATTTTACAATAAATGTGCTCTGTACTATTTCATAATAATTGAAATATTTAACAGACTTGACACGAAGTAGTATAATGAGATTTTATATTCTATTATATACCTGCAAATAGCATTGTTCATTTCAAAACGTGAATTTCATTAATTTAAAAAACTTGTAATGCAATCAATACCTTATTTACTCGTGAATATTAAATGAAAAAATGTGTGTGACTAAGCTTTAAAAAAAACTAACCTTTTCAATGAATTAAAAATAATATATTTAATCATATTAATTAAATCATATATATATATATATATATATATATATTATCAATATATTTTAAAAGTATTTTAAATAAAATCAGTTATAGTTATGTATATTTTGTTCAACCTGGAATTATTTAGTACAGTAACTTTCAAAAATTAGAAAATCAACCAATTCTTTTAAAGATTATAATTTTAAATATAAGTCATTATACCATTGAATATTACGCTATAACAAATTCATTTATTAAATGAAATTATTGAAAATTGTATGTAAATTTGAATTAAAATCCAAACATTTTAACAAAGCCTTGATTAATTTATTACAATGTAGACATTCGAATGCTCTTTATCAATAATTTTTTCCATCGAGATTTGTATACTTGTCTCTTAAAATTATTCATAATTCGAATTATTTACGATATTCTGCCAGTTATAGTAATTGCATTATATTTAATGAAAATTTTATTTTTATTGATATGTTAGTATTTTTTAATCCAATTACTCGTAATATGAGGAATTTATGTGCAGTAATCTATAATCGTATATTTGAAAATTTCAAAATATTTAGCTATTTAGTTTCTTTATAAAATAAAAATATTCTATACATTAAATGAAAAAAATATGAGAATTGAATCGAAATTGAATCGAACTCCAAATTGATTTGTAAATTCAATTCTTTCTTAAGTATATTCTAATTCTAATTGATATTAATGACTATTCACAAAAAATTAGATTCAGGTTCAATTTATGAACGCCGAAATCAATTAAAGTGAGTCTGTATTATCTAAAATAAACCCACATAAATTGTATTCTCAGTTAAGCAAAAAGTCAGAGCAACAATATTTATTCAATCGATAATCATACATATTCAATCTTCTAAAAATATTTCAAATAAACATTTTTCTAATCAAAAGATTTCACACTGTTGCTAAAAAGGAAAATTAATTGTTAATGAAGAAGGATTGATTCTGTATAGAAATAGTATACTTATTTGAAATTATGACTTAATAATTATTATTTGGAGCGACTTAAGTGGAGTACGATCTAGAATCTGGCATAGAATAATTATTATAATTATTATGAATAACATGATTGCAACCGAACTGGATTGCGATACGATTTTGTAAGATTAATAAATTTACCTATAAACAAGGTACTATACTATCCAAATTTTTAAAATAATAAAAATTGTATGAAATATATAGCTGAAAATAAGTAATATCAAGATTTATCTACCTCTTCGTTTATGTAAAACTATTTTTAGAAACAGTTCTATTCGACATAACTAATAAATTTTGTTTATTTTGTCAGATTTATACTGAAATTTATTTGGCTTATAATTTCATACTAGATGTAATATTATATTATGCTATTAATTATATATTATTATAACTTATTATTATAATATTAATTATAATTATATATTATTAATTATTATTAATTTTTTTTATATATTAATAAAAAGTATAATATTAATTATTAATTATATATTAATTATAACTCGCCTATTTGTTTAAATAAATAATGTATATTTATAATATAAGAATATAAAGGAATTTTTTTTTAATGGGATTGTAAAAACAGTTATCACAGCTCTAAGTATATAAAATATCGTTATAATTAATTAAAATCTATATCAGAATTAAATCATTATATATATTATTGATGCGTTATTAATTACAATTATTTATAATATATTTTACTTAACATTTGCATATATTTAGAAAGTAGACATTAAATAGTCAATTATCAATATATATATATATATATATATATAAATTTTATAAACTAGTAAATTAATCAATTATTAATTTTAAAACTTAGCGTTTTTTTTTTCAATATGTAGTCTTTTGAATAAATTATAAATGACCGATTCAAGTTATATTCTATCTTATAATATAGTATTTTTAACTTATTTCATAAATATTAGATACATTTTAATATAAAGTTTGTATCGATAATATAATGTCACAAATATGTATTGTAATTTGTCTTATTTTGTCTTACACGTAATGACTCAATCATAGCAACAGAGTTCAGGTAAACTTGAAGTTTTTACAAAGAATATATAAATACAGACACATAGGTATATAATACATGTATAAATGTAATTTATTGAATAATAAAATATACACTGTTAGACTAGTGAGAAAACGTGAAAAAGTTCATTTTAATTTAAAAATTTATAAGTGAATATTTAAAAAGAATTGAACATTTTTAAATGTTGATATAATGTTAAATTTAATTTCTCATGTATCTTTTTGAATGCTTAATTAAACGTTAAATAAAAAGTAAATCAATATTTTTAGAGAAATGATATTTTTTAAGATGGAAATACGATATTATTTGTTTAAAGAACTCATTTTTAAATACATTTTTATTACGTGAATGCGTAATGTTTTATATTTATTTTCTTTCCTAGAATTTATAAAATACACATTTTCCAACTGTATTATTTGACGGAATTTGTATAATGTCTATAATGAATTTACTTTTTCCTATAAAACTACTGTTTTCTAGCAGGTTAAGCAGGTTTATTAATGATTTTTTTATTTTAATAGTTGCTTAACAATTATTAACTCTTTCTATGTATATATATATATATATATATATATATATATTATGTATTAATTGAAAAAATATACACATCGATTCTAATAGAATATATAATATTTTATTTATAGCCATTGGTTCAATAAATTAATTTTTAATTTAATGTAAATTAATAAATGATGTTTGACATTACCTAGAAGTTTGACACTTCATAGAAGTTTAATACTACATTGAAGTTCGGAAGAGAATTAATTATAAAATTATATACTTCATTAAAGTCAAATATTATATTATTAAGAAATTTAAATTAAAATCGACATATGTATATCTCTTACATTTACAATATATAGAATTCTAATAGCATTAAAAATTAAAGATGAGATTGCTGCGTATTTTATTTATTTAAATGGTATGTTACAAAAGTTATATTTATAGAATTTATCCAAAATATTATATAATTTATTAGTATTAAAACTCGAATGGTTAATATATACATAATATCGTAGACAGAATGAATTAGTTTATGAAAAATTACTATCCAAACTAAAACAAAAATTTCATTTTTAATATATAACTTATATTCATATATATTTATTGTAATTCAGTTTTTTTTCTAATTTTTTAGCTGTAATGCTTAACGATAAATACATGGATTTGTCAAAATTGATAAATAATCATGAGTCAATGGTATGAGTGTGAACCGGAATTATAAATAAAGTAACTCCGTAAAAGCCTTGAAAATTTCATGATAATATAATTTAATTAATCACTCTTCGCTTTTCCAATTGTCATTGTCCCTCACACAAACTATAATGAGAAGAAGAATGTAATGCAGTCGATATTTTGAGCTCTAATGAATTTGCGTAAAAACCTACCATCCGCGCACCAAAAAGACATAAAGCACACGAATGAAGCTTGCAGTCGAATTTCCACGATCCCGCATCTCGCCTATCGATAGTGACAAGGGATAAACAGTAATGAGGCAAGACTCTGCTTAACAAACACATAAGAAGTGCACAAACGAGACGGAGCCATGCGATCGTTTCGTTATACAATCTTAGTGAGTGCAATATGCATTATAATACGGTACGTTCTGTCTTTCTTCAATTCCGCGTGTGCGAGAGTGCGATAGACTAGGTGTGGCATTTAAGAATAGTTGGTGAGCGGCTCGACTATTGGCTTTGCCACGACGGCGGCGGGGTGATACGCGAAATGAAAGTGAATTACCTATATAAAGGGTGGATTGTCAGCTGCTTCAGTTCATACCAGATTACAATTTTGCGTACATTAGGACGCATTCGCTCGAGCACGCACACCGGAAGTATTAGGTGGTCAACATGAGGGTCCTGGTACGTGTTCGTTCATTCATTCGTTCTTCTTCCTCTTCGTCCTCTTCTTCTTCTTCTTCTTCTTCTTCTTCTTCTTCTTTTTCTCCACCTTCGTATATTGCCTTTTTTCATCCTCTTCTACCTCTACTTTTATTAACATCACTTAAGGCTTCTCTACGATACAAATCGTCGCAATTCTTATAATAATAAGTTACACGCTTCTTTCTTATCAATCAAGGTCGTCTTTGGCGAAGACACTGAAACACCGTGATGATAAGCTTATGTTTTAATAAAATTTGCTAATTATCAATAGCCACTTTACATTACATTATCAACATTATTTCATATAATTTATTAAGTACGATTAAAAATATGTATTCATTGGATTCATTTAATACGGCAAATTTAAATTCATTTAATTATCAGTTAATTTACTAATGAATATATCTTGTTCATTTACATTCAAAATTTATCTTTTTTACTAAATATAATTTAAATGCCAATATTTAGTCTTTAACACATGTTTCGCCTCGCTGAATGACTATTTGAAATAAAAGAAGAAGGAATAAAATGTAAACTTAAATGTAAAATAATATTAAATAAAAATAAGAGTATTTACTTTTTGGAAATAATTATAATTTAGTAAAGTTATGAATTTAAGAATTAAATAAAAACTTTTGCTAACTGCATATAACTTTACCTTACAATAAAAATCTTTGTTATTAAATATTGATGTATATATATATATATATATTTTTTTTTTTATTTTTATCATCAAAGCCTTTATATTTTGCTCAAACGTTCTCATTAGCTTGTGAAGTCGTCACACGAACACTCTAACTCTTATATATATATATATATATATATATATATATATATATATATATATGTATGTATACTCTTGTATACACTTTATTATAGGCTAGTCCTTATACATCGACCTCCTGTTCTCAATTCGTCTTTTTTCTTCGCAACTCATTTTCGTCTTTCCAGGCCTATAAAAAGTGCACACGTGTCATCGTCGGAAGTTAGGTTATTTTGTTCATCAAACGCAAAAATTATTTGTTGCGTGAAGCGAAAAATTGGCTAATCAGTCAAGCTGATCGAGGTGTAAAAGTGCATCCTGGGTGTGTGGTTTCTTACACAAAAAAAAAAGTTTGTACGAGGGTAGAAAATCGTTTGGAAATTTTGTACGAATCACTTTGTTTCCAATTCGAAACCAATGCTTTTTTGTCTTATCAATTAACCCATATACAGTTACATCAAAACAAAATTAATTTACTATAGTTATAATGTACTTTTTAATTTAATTTAATTTATTTTATTTTATTTATTTTTTTTTTTTAATTACTTTCATGCCGATAAAGATAAAGTATTGCAATATTTAATAATAAAATTTTTTAATAGGGTTGCGTGGTAAGTACTTTAAAAACTTATCGTATTCAAGTTCTACAAAATAACACATTTGACATATGTGTTTGTAACTGAAATCAAATATACATTTTAAAAGTGGCAATCATCTATTTTAATATTTTAATTAAATATTTAATAATTAACTAAACACAAATGAATTGAGAAGTTTGAAAATTAATTTCCTTAGTAAATTAAAATATTTATGATTTCTTCAATCAGTTGCTTCTTAAAACATAATTATACAATTATTCCAAAAAAAAAAAAGAAATATCGTCGATTTAAAATTCGTTTGTTTCATTCGTCAGGTAACGGAACCATTTGTTTTTGAAATCAAATATGTCAGTGAAATCAAATTTGTATGCTCGTAAGAAAAATAAATATAAAATCATTATATGTCGACATTGAGCTTAATAATAATAATAATAATAATAATAATAATAATAATAATAATAATAATTTGTTTAAGGGCGTAGGTGAACCAAGACAATCAATTGTGCCTATCCATCCGTATACGCATGCGTCGCGCACTCGAGCACGAATCTCTTTTCGCTTTCGGCACTTAATCAACCGTAAAAGGGTGAAAACGATATTGTGTATATCCTCTTTATCGGCATTTTTCTTTATCGGCATTTATTATGTGGAATGCTTCCATGATGGATTGTGCCACTGGAATTCATGGTACTCTCGAATTTATGGTACACATTGAGTCCAAAATTTTTCGGTAAATTGCGAATAAAAAGAAATTTTAACCCGAAATTTGAAATCAATTGTTATATCCTTGGCAACTATCAACAGACATAAATAATTTTATATACTTGAGCGGGTATTGGAATATTTATGAGATCTATCGAGTGCTTGTAATAATCACAAATTACATTCTCATTAATTGATACAAAAAATAAATAATTTTTTCCCTTTATTTACCATTTACCTTTCATTTGCACCACATGACAATAGTTTCTTTAACCTCTCTTCATTTTTAATATTCCAATTGCTTATATTTAGAATTATAATTATATAGTATGAATATAAATTGTAATGATAATAAATTATAATCATATATAATTATATAATATCATGAGTCAGAATTGAATTATTATCGCGTTGAATTATACTTATGTTCAAGTTAACTAGATAACAAAGACGGCTTTGATGGAAATTAAAATAATATCGCACTTCACTACTGGGCTGAAATTACCGTCTTTATAAAAAAAAAATAAATAAATAAAATAAATAAAATAATAAAAAACAAACAATAAAATAACTATCTAACATTATTGACGTTACGGAAATATGATTTATGAAAAGCTAAGTGGGAAATTAATTAGCAAAAACTTTCAACATATGAAATATTTGTTTTATGCGCGCTCTACTTTTTTTTCATTTTTTTTTTACTTTTATTCTTGTTTCTCATCTCGAGAACATTTGAATTCTTCCTTTGAATTCATACTTATCTTACACTTGAGTAAAGTCAGCGAAATAAATCAACTCTTTATCTTTTTCATGTGATCTCGCGCGTAATGTTAAATGATCCATCGACATATGCATTTGCGCGAGATTAAGCCTTAAAATAATCAGCCGCGTCATCGATAATATTAATAAATAAAAATTCTCCCATAAGAATCCAGCATTATAAGCTTTGTAGCAATAATAGAGCAATTTCACGAATAAAAGCAAAGTAAATAAGTGATTAATAAAAATTTAAACTTTCACGGCTGAATTTCAGTCAAGAGTTCTGTCTCTTTACACCTAAAATAAAATAAAGTATACGTAAATAAGAGAAGACTTAATAACTCTTGGATTACTATAACCGTCACAATAAAAATAATGTATGAGAGCACAATTTAATTCGCTTTCCAGATGAGCGTGTTAATGATGGCGGCAGTGGTGGTGTTAGCCGAGGAGGCCGCCGAATCGAAAAAGGACAAGCGTGGACTCTTTCTCGGCGATTACGGCACCTACGCTGGCTACGGCCACTACAATGGACACGAGCACCATACCATCGTAAAAACGGTTCCAGTACCGGTGCACGTGCCCAAGCCTTACCCCGTCACCGTACCCGTCGATCGCCCCTACCCTGTCAAAGTACGTAAGTCAAAGTACGATCAAAACTCCTCCGCTTGGACACACCCTTGCACACCTTGAGTCTTGTAATGAATGGTGTAAGTTACGGTCAGCTGACGGGTAATTGGACGCTACTGTTGCCCAATATGGTTTTAAGCGTCTTGTAGGAGCGATGCCGGTGAAAAACAATGCTAGTTTTCCTCCATACGACCATCCGATTAATTTTTTCATTATTTGAATTTAAAATTCTGTTATTATTGACGTGTAATCATTACAATTCACGTTCTAATTTCGTATAGTTTAATGGCTTCGCGTAATTTGAAAGCCTATAACGTGTGAGATCCAAATGTGTAAGTGTTTCTTTAACGAATTTGCTTACGTAATATTTCAATGCGAATGGACAAAGATATTTTGATTTAATAATTCCAATATAACGATAGCAAAGTTTTTCAATATTCTGGGTGTGTAAAGTAATTATCTATCGTAACGCTATATATTGTAAATAAAACCTACATCAAAATTTATTATAACATTGAATAATTTATTATATTGAACTACTTTAATATATATATATATATATATATACACATATATAATACAAGCTCAATTTAGGCAAGGATCGAACGTATCATGATAGCTTATTGCATAAATAACCACACGAGCATTGACGTAATTTACGTTAATTTTCCTTTTAAAGTCAATAATTTGCAAATTTATACGTTTAAAAGAGAAAAATTTAATAGAGAAAATAATAGGAATAAAAGCGAGCTTATGATTAAAACAGTTTGTCCAAAAAGTTTCTTACAACGAGGTAACAAAGAATTTTTCAACAAAACTCGAAGAATGAAGACAACGTAATAATGCCTATAAAATGTCGAATTGACTTCTTTCGTGCAGGTTCCCGTTGAAGTTCCGAAGCCTTACCCGGTTGCTGTACCAGTGCCGCAGCCTTACCCAGTTGTGCACACAAAGACCATCACCGTCCCCGTGGACAGACCTTACCCGGTTAATGTTCCGGTTAAGGTCCCCGTCCATGTACCAGCTCCGTACCCGGTCAAGGTCAGTTGAACCCCGCCCGCGAAAATCAACGAGCCGTACAATTATTAATGATCCGAGAAACGAATGGAAAAAGATGATTTGATATTTGATATATGAACATTGATATTTTCAATAGTTAGACCGATTATTGTACAGACGAGGACGATTAGTTTGAAAAGCTCAACTACCTTTAAGCGACGAGGAAAATTAGTTTCACCGACTGAGTTCATAGTGATTGTTAACAATTATATAGCTTTTAATGAAATAGCGACAGTGAGGAGAAAAAATTTGCATAAGAGAATTTATTGCCTTATTTAAATTAAGTAACTATGCAAGACTATTATTTTTTTATTTTTTTTTTTTTCGGAAAAGATCTTTGTTGCTTGGTATGTGAAAATAGCATATTACCTCTAATATTAATTAAAGCAATGCTATCGTAAATAATAATTCAATTCATCAATATTTGTTGAAATTTCAATAATTTTAAGTTTAAGTTATGCTAAAAAAAATTGTTCGTAATAATAATATTGCTTTCAGATAATTTTTAATCTACTTAGACTGAAATTGAAAAATTAATTTTGCAAAAGTACATTATATTATATCGCATTACTTATCGATAAAATATTTAACTAACGCAAAAACTTAATTGTAGATAATTATAAATGTAATTTATAGGCTCAGTAGGTAGTAATATTGCTATAAAATATATTTACACAGATTTGTCTACGTTAATTCACTATTAGATTGTAAAAGTTGAACACAAGAAGTGAATTTTATTACAATTTGATGCTTTTCAGCGAGTAATAAAGAGTTGAAAAATTTGCATAAACATTACCTTCATTGAAGCGAATATTACCAAAATTTAGAAATGCGCAATTGTCTATTGAAATAATTTAATTTGAAAGTATTAATATGGAATTGGCTTTGAATTGAAACAAAAAATCGAAGAAGAAAAAAAGTAACTTGGATTGAGTAGAGTCGAGTAGCGTTGATATTTTAAGAGATCTTTTCAAAATACAAATTTTAACAAAAGCCATATTATGGAATTATTTGCAGTCGCAAAGGTATATGTGAGTTTAACTTTTTTTCAATTAACACACTACAAAAATATTTTTTTAATTAACAAGACTATTTTTAAGGGCTCCGTCCGATTATTGATTGATTATCCTTAATTATTAAAATGCCGAATTGCTAAATACATAATTGTCATTTATTTACTATTTACTATTACCAAGTATAATTTATTTATCAAACGGTTTATTGAATTATTATCCTTTATAATGATGACACGATAATAATAATAATATCGAATAAAAAAATTGCGAGCCACAAATTAGCAGATTAACGACTACCCTTACTTAATAAGTTAAAAAAAAAAAAAAAAAAAAAGGCAAAAAAAAATGTTGGCATTCACAATGAAGTGTAAAGGGCATATCAACATTAAATTTGCAGTAGGTAAAGCTATAAACGGGGGCCAGGCTTACAAATGAATTATCGCCATTGCAGGTCCCAGTCCCAGTCGCAGTCCCCGTGCCCCATCCAGTCGTGGTCAAGGAGAAGATTCCCGTTTACGTTAAGGGGCACGGAAGCTACGGCTACAGCTTTCCTAGCGGTTACGATTATTTGTAAGCGGCGATTTCATCGGAGGAGGCGGCCAAAGCCGACACAGACAGACGTCGAGTCGACCGATCAACCCACCAATAAATATTAATTTGCGATGTACGCGCAACATAAGCCACGACATTACGTAGACATTACGTGTCAGGGCGCGCGATCAACCAAAACATGCTCCATTAAATGTAATTACATCACCACGAAAGGATAGCATAATAAAAGGAATTTGTAAAGTTTCTTCTTCTTCTTCTTCTTCGTCTAGATCTTTTTCGTTTTTTTTTTAATTGCGTTGCGTCACTCGTATCATACCCGACCCCATCATCATCATCACCGTTCTTATCGATCCGACGGATTATTCCGTGCACTATGAATTTACGCAAGTGGCAACTGCTTTTCATAGCTTAAGCAACTTAAATATGTATCAGCGACAGTGTGGCTTTATTAACGACTTAATTGCTGAAAAGGGAGCGTTGCCTTGGGTGAAATTTAGCCAACCGATGTTACCGCAATCGGTATCATATATCGCAATTTATTCCTTCAACGATCCTTACATTAGCAAATAAGCTGCATAGGAAATGTACAGTTGCAGGATACAACTTACTTCTATCGCGTTGAGATTCATAAAATATATACATTTAATTCATCCTCGGCGAGATTCTATCATTGCATAAACTTTTTTCAGGCTAGAAAATTAATTTAATCGCTCATAATATAATATTATATCCACCTTGAGAGTCAATGCTGAAGTGACTTTTACAGAACATCTAAGCTTTCGTAATATATGTCCATTTTGTAATTTTGACTTTTGAATATTTGAATATTATTTGAAAATCAAATTCCTATTGACTTGTAGATATTTCGTAATAATGTACTTAACAATTTGTAAATTTGATGCTTCGATAATTCATCGACCGTAATGTGGAAATTCTAGCGTTCACCATTAAGTCGACAATATTTCCATAGTTCCATAGTTTAAAAATGGTTACAAAATTATTTTTACCCTAAATTTTTTATACTCAATCGATATTTTTGATTGGAACATTAATCGATTATACGATTACTCACGACTATCAGACATTTTTCTTAATACAATAAATACGTAAATCTTTAGCGACGTAGATGCATTTTTTGTTTTGTTTTGTTTTGTTTTGTTTTGTTTTGTTTTGTTTTTTTTTTTGTTTTTTTGTTTTTTTGTTTTTTTGTTTTATAATTCACATCGTTAATATATACACGTAATACACTAATGATATTGTTAATATTTTGAAAAGATTTTTAAAAGACAATTTTTGTCAGCCACGTGCTTTCGTTCCCGCCCACGTTTCGATTCTCATAATCGTACGAACGCGAGCCAATTCTTTAAATAGAACAGTCTTGGCCAACATTTTAATTTATTCTTGCGTAGAATGAAACTGCCATTAGACTATCACAATATGGACTTGTTAGAAAAACGGATAAAGGCTATTAACTCGCTATTAATCAAGACGCACATTCGCACATGTAACAGAATATCGTCGACGAAAGATTCATATCGATGAAAAGGTCGCAATTTCGACGCCTGATTTCATAATGGCGGCGGCGGCGGCGGCAGAGGGGGGGGGGAGTGGTGGTGGTGGTGTTGGTGGTGAGAGCAGGTTTCATAATACTTCTAATGAGTCAGAAAAATGAATACCCGCATGTATTAGTATGGAGAGGAGGAAGTTTCGTTAGCTGTCGACTTCACTTTGATGCTGCAATTATGAATCGAGTGAAAAATCTATTGTTCTTCTTCTTATAAATCGAACTGTTTATAATCAAATGCGAATAATCATTAACAATTGTGCCAATTGTGCTAACAAATTCATGCTCAAATTACCAATTACCAATCTATATTTCGATCGAATAAAGATGGACATAATAGCAAAAAGGGATTCGTGACTTTAACAACAGAATTCAATCACTTATTCATACAGTTAAACGTATGAACTAACATAAAATCAATTTCTCAGTCTACTGAATCTTTTATTTGAGCTTGTTAGATTGTGTAAAAATATTGGTTCATATGAGCTTGATCCAAAAGAATTGTATATCTATTAACTTTTCAAAATCGAAGAATTACATAATCGATTCGAAAGCCGTCATTATATTTGACATACATTTCATTATAAACATTTATGGTCTTTATTAGTTCGACATTCTGACGCAACATGGTAATTCCATTGCGACTACGTTGGTAATCTAATCGCTAACGCATTTATTAACTTAAAGCCTTGAAAGGATGAGCGTAAGAAAACAAACAATGAAGAAGCACTCTAATCTAATTCTATAAGTTCGGAGTGTCTAAAAATTAAATAAATACTAAGTCATTTATATGAGTGAGTGTCGGAGATTCGTAGATTCTTTAGTTTATATTTATATAATATGGGATATTAATGAAAGCAGAAGCTATGATCTTAATTTTGCTTAGGAAATGTTCCGTGTTATGTTTCGTTCGCTAATTACTATTAAATGAGTAAATCTATTTTGCAAGAGTCATATGTTGATGGTTACATTATGATTTTGCATGATGAAATGCCCTTATAATGTATATTAATCCCATTATCCTCTTATCCTTTAATATCTTATTATTCGAGAATATATAATGCCCTTTTGTATGATTACTTTAAACAATTTAAGGACACAGTATACGTATAAAAATTTTGCTAAATATTTGCGAACAATTGCTTTAATTTGAACTGTAATGAAATAAATTAACAATGTGCATTTTATTTTTTCTTTGCTTTTGCTTTATTTAATAGTTGCGGATAATGTATCTTTAATTTAAAATAGTTTCTTAAGCAACGTTAAGAGATAAGTTATCTGTAAGAATTAAAATATATAAAGCTGAAGAATTTTATTTAATGATTCGAATGAACAAAGAATACGCAAACCAGTCGCATTGGAATATAAATTATCATAAATATTAATATAAATTTATATGACAGTAATGCGATAATACGAACCTAAACTCTTGAAATATTCATTCATTCTTGATTGATATACAATTTTATAATTATAGTTTTTTCACTTCTACAATCTTCCCTAATGAACACGCTTATATACTATAAAGCAATCAAATCATCATTAGCATATTGAGAATCACCCTAACAGCGAATATTACAATACCGTAACATCATTCGTATTATCATTACAATGGCAATGTTCATTTTCTATAAAAGTTTAAATCATCGTATATTCTCAGCCTTTCCGCGCCGCATTAATTTTTTTTTTAAAGATTCATGGTTAGTTACATTCAGCCGATTATTTTAATGCCACTGGGCTTTATGGTTCTACGGATCTACGTACGTGCATCTACGGATAAAATCATAAAAAATAATATCTTTCATTTATTATATTAATAAATTTATTATAAATCTATTGAATATAATTTTCATTTAAGATTTTCCTTTAATACCATATTTATATTAAAATACAGAATTTCATTTGTGCTTGAAATTATAATATCATAAAAATTTTCTACAAAGAATTTCAAAATATAATTGAAGAAAACAAAAAAAAAAAAAAAAAAAAAAAAAAAAAAAAATAGAGTATAAAGCATCTATTGACAATACAAAAGAATTCTTATCGAGATTTATTCGAATATTTTATCTATAAAAATTTGCATTTAGTTTAAAAAATAATGTTCTAACTTTGTTTTTGAAACAAAACTCAAGTAATAATTTAATAAAAACATTAATAAAAACGAAAAATGATTGATGATGATCGATGATGATGACAATAACAATAGCAACAACAAGAATAGTAATAGCGACAATAAGAATAACAGTAATAATAAAAATAGACGAATGGAAATATCTAGGCGAACGTGAGATTGCAGTGGGATGTGAAAGTACGGGGAGGAATAGAATTCGACTACCCTCGGAATAATGTGAATTATCTAATCACGTGCTTACATCACGTCTGTAGATATAAAAAATTCCAATAAATGTTGTAAAAGAGTTGTTGCTCCATTGATTTATTGCTTTTGTTTATAAGATTTTAAAAACTTGGAGACTAAATGTATAATCCAATGAACATCAACGATAAATGTTACGATGCCATCCCTCCAATCGAAAGAGAGAATATATTTATCATAATATAGATATTGGCTTATTAGGTTCTAACACGTAGATGTGATTTAATGTAAATTCAATTAATCTTTTATTATATTGATTTAATATTGGTATGTAAACAGTGTAATTATCACAATATTGTCTGAATAAATATAATACATAGTATTTTTGTTCTTTCTTCCGCTACGAGAGTTTGAGCAATTAACGATGGGGTGGCTAATAAATTTAGTTACAATATCTAAACTGAGATAAGTATGCTAATGTAATAAAGGAAGATATTTTCTAATCGTTAAAAAATTAAGGGCTTTGATATCAACAGTTTCATATCTTAATATATTTCCTATTTATTTATTCGATATTTATTGTATAAAGCAGCTGAATATTCAATTAATAATGGATTTATGCTATTATGCATTGAACTTACGGAATTTCTCGATCTCTGAACCTTGAGAAAGTAGTTTTAGCCGGTCTGATTATCGTTTCACATCAAACTCGTGCTTTTAACGAATCGGATAAATCACAAACGTGATTGTGATACTGTCTCATTAGAAGCGCAACGTCACCTGCGTATATAAATAGTAATTGTGTGCGCTACCACTCGGGATAATGAGTTGCTCGCAACTAACTTCATTGTAAAATAGGTCAAACCTAGGTACTCTAGCGCTATCAATTCAAATTACTGTTTTCGTCTAATTAATATTTTGTTGTAAATTTTTCTTTCTTCCATGATCATATAAATATACTCGCACGCATATTGACTTGAGCAACAAAGTTAATACAAGTATTATTACTAGAAATAATTGTTAATAATAATTTTCAATTTATGAGGGAAAAAACTTTACTTCGTACTTATGGTTGCTTATACACGTATGTATGTATTATTCGTGCATTTCAACTTACTTACAAAAATTACTTTATTTAAAGATACCATTTACGCACGTATTTATGGCTTTGTAAAAATATATATTACTCGTCATTGCTTTGATAAATGCAAATTCGCATTTTGCAAATAAAATACGTTTTACCTGTAGCAACAGAAAAATGAATGACAATGAATTTATATATATATATATATATATATATATATAAATTATACTATATTTATTATGTATTTATTTATTTTTTTGTCTTGTTTTGTATAAATG